AAGCGCTTATTCCACTGAGCCATCTCCCTGGCCCTACAACTCCATAATGACACAAAAAATAACCCAGTTACAAATGGCCAGGGAAGGTGAATTAACATTTTTGAAAAGGAAGTTAGCCAATAAATGTACTGCAATTACTTATCATTAAGGAAACACAAATTAGAGGAACAATGAATACCTGCTCGCAGCCATTAGCATGGCTATCAGAAAAATAAAACAAGAAATGTTGGCAAGGATGCGAAGAAACTGGAATCCACATGTACTACTGGGAGAAATGCACCATGTGCAGCCACAATGAAAAGCAGTATGACAGTTCTTATAAAAATTTAAAAACATAGGGGCTGGGGATACAGCTCAGTGACATAAGTGCCTGCCTGGCAAGCACAAGGTTCTAAGTTCAAAACAGGGCTGGGGAGATGGCTCAGTGGAATAAGCACTTCCCTGGCAAGCACAAGGATCTGAGTTCAATCCCCGGTTCCGAAAAAAAAAAAAAAAAAAAAAAAGAATCATAACATAGACCCTCTGAGATTATGGAGCAAGACCATGTTACCTGGAGTTGAGAATCATAAATTTGAAAAACAGCTTCTGACATGCTGCTGGATCCTGCTAGAGATGGCAGCCTGGTATCTGAACACCAAGAAAGCCTGTGGCGAATTCTTTTCAACAAATGATCCAGGGAAAATGGATCCTCACGTGCAAAGAATAGAGCTGGACCCTCACTTAATATCATATGTAAAAACTTACTCAAAATGGATTAAATATTTACATGTAAGAGCCAAAAACTATAAAATTCTTAGAAGTTTCTAACAGACAGGAAAAGCCTCGAGGTATGTATTGGGAAAATAAAGACAGATTGAACTAAAAAGCTTAGTGTGAACACCCTGGATTCAATGCCCAGTACCAAAAAAAATTTAAAAAAAAAAATGAAAAGGAGTAAATTACTGATAAGGGGTAAATACCTAGATATATAAAGACCACATACAGGGGCTGGAGAGATGGCTCAGTGGTCTAAAGCACCTACTTAGAACAAGCTTAGCAAAAGCATCAGGGACCGCGGTTCAATCCCCCAGC